TGACCTGCACGGACTGTTTACACTGAGAGGAATGGGAGGTGACACTGAAGACACAACTTCAGTCACAGTGAGGCAGCAGGAGCTGTTACCAACTTTGAAGCAAAGGAAATGACAACATGACATTCAAACATGAGAGTCTGGTGCTGCTATACAGATCATCTCAAGTAGGGCAGTGGTGTAGGGAGTTCTGCTGAATACATTTTTACTAAACACCACTAAATGCCAAACTCTGCCCTAGGCCTGGGGACGTAAACAAGAAGTCTCTTCCTGGAGGCCTTGCAGCCTACTGGGGGTAAGCAAGAACAGAGAACAGTTAAGATGCTTTCTGTTCATCCTATTTTTGAAGGGGTGAGGGTGAGACCAGGGTCCGGGCATTGGATACCCAAGGGCAAGAATGGATGGTTTCTCCAGGAAGAACCACAAAGCCTTTATTTTGGGTCTTGCATCATCTGCTTTCACCCCAGTCTGTCTTTATTTTTGCCAATTTGTTCTCCTTGTTCCTACTTTTTAATCCTCTTTTCTGTAGCTGGAGGCACTTAATGAATGCTAGCAAATCAAATAATGTATTATTTAAACACCACGGCTTTTCCCGAAGCCATGGATGTTCTCTGCTCTAAATGAGTTTGATGTCCTTTCCACTAAGCAATCAGCCTATATATGTGTATATCACATCGAGAATTAACAGGAGCTCGTAGAAATCAGAGTCTGGTGCATTTTCATGGCATGTGTCAGTTTAAATGAAAAATAAAGGAAGTCCTACAAAATTGCCTAACTGGCACATTGGTGAAAGGTATAGGGCTTGCTTAAGATGTAACTCCGTATGCTATCAATTAAATGTAATCACAGTTTAACTAAATGGCTTACTATGTGCCAGCTGCTTGACTGACCATTAGGATAAGGTGAATAAGACACAGTCCTGGTCCTGAGAACGTTTAGACGTCAGAGGCAGGTGATGAAAGGGTTCCCTAGCCAGACGTCTCGTCCTCTCCACGGCTCACTTTTAGCTCCTGCCACAATCACTTCTTGCTTCCGTGATCCTTTTGCTTTGATCGCTCCTTCCTACCCACCCCACAGGCATGCTATTCTACTCACAGCACCTGAGGAAACCTCCTCACGGTAAGTCATATCACCCTCCTCTTTCCCTTCTATCTCAGTAAAATTCTAAGTCATTAATCCTGGCCCATAATGTCTCATATGACCTGACTTTGATGTCCTTTATAATCATTTCCCTTGCTCCACTCACATTTGGCTTCTTTCCCGTTCCTAGAAAATTCTAAACACATTTTTGTCTCTGACTCTTTTCCTTGTTCCGTATGCCTGGATTTCTCCCACCTCCAGACAGCTGCCTGACTTGCTCCTTAGCTCTCTGCAGGCCTCTGCTCAAAGGCCGTCTGAACACCAAGTCTGTCTCTGACCATCTGGCGTTTGCTACCCCCTCTTTCCTTGCTTTAGTTTTCCTAAATGCACTTATTCAATAAAATGCATTTATTATCAGTGGTATTTATCTATGTATTCTCTACCTCCCCCAACAATATTGGAAGCTCCACAGAACAGGATCCATTTGGTTTGCTCCTGTCCTCCCATTACTTAGCAGGTTGACTGGCGTGTGGCCAGTGCTCAACACGTAATGATGGATGGTTGGGAGTTATGAGCTGGATTTTAGGAGCACAAGGAGGAGGGTCCGGGGCCTACCCTAGGATGGATGGGGGCATCAGAGAAGGTGTACTTCCACAAGTGATATTTTGGCAGTCTTCATTTTTTCGTGCACTCACATTCATTCATTCAGAAAATTCTCATGATGTTTTCCTGTGTGCTGGGGACATAGGAAATGTATGTCCAGGACAGGACTGTAGCTCCCTTTAAGGCAGACAAGCCTCTGCACTTATAAAACTTACAACCTGGCAGGATGAAGATGATAAGCAAGCTGATACTTGAGACAACAGAAAAAATATCTCATGCTGTGCAAAGAACTAAGTGTGACATAACAGGGAGGTGGTTACCTTAGCTTGGGTCATTAGGGAAGCATCTCTAGGAAGTGACCTTTCAGTGGGGGCCTGATGGACACGAGGAAAGTAGCCATGGAAAGACGAAGGGGGTATGTGTTCCCGGCAGAGAGCATAACCTTAGGGAAAAACTATTAAGTGGGGATGGGCTTGGGGTGTTCATGGGACCAAGAGAAGCACGTGGACCTGTGGGACAGCGGGCAAATGGGAGGGGGCGCAGCCTGAGATCATATAGGAGCCGTCAAAAGGAGGAGGAGGAACCAGGAGGTGAAGTAGGGGAAGAACCCGACTGGGAAGTATCACAGGCAGAGAGCATGGCATAAGCAGAGGCAAGCAGGCATGAAATAGATCTTGTGTGTTTGAGTAACTCTAGGAAATTCACTTCTCCTGGGTTCAATGCACAATAGAATTGGGAACACGCCGAGTGTAAATTGTCTTTTCATGAAGCTTTTGGCAATTGAGAGAAGAGAGCCCTTTTTCTAAAAAATACATCCTCAGTGTGGGCTTTAGTTAACCTAGCATAAAAGACCATACTAAAAGTATATTCTTAGATTTTTAGTAGATTCAGATATTATGCATTTGAGTTCCTGTTAAGTCTAGAGCCGGGAAGCAAAAGTAATCTTGCATATTTTGTTTTATTCTAAATATGACCTCAGACATACAAGTTGTTGTCTTCCTTATTTGAGATGCTGAAGTGAAGGACAAGCAGGTTCGGTCACTTCCAGGACCTGTAGAGAGCTCAGTTCCACGTCTTTCCTGCCCATTGCTACTTCCTCTGCTGTCCAGCATCTCCTCAGCTGACAGATGCACCTGCCTAGAATGAGCTTGCTATCTCTTCTAATTACTTGTGTTCTGTCATTTTCCTTTGGGCTGGGTCTGTATCCTCCTATGCCTACCTTTAATTCAGAAAACACACTTTCTTTTTCCTCCTGCCCTCAGCAAATCCTGGTCAATACCATGTGTCAACGACTCAACGACTGCTTCTCTCTGCTGACAGAATGATGCAAGACAAAACAAACTCAAGGATGAGATTAATATGCATGGACATTTTTCTCCCTCTATGGTAATTGAGTCCCCAAGGAGTGTCTAAGTCTTTGGGAATTTTGACAGATGGAAGTTTTATAACAATCGGAACCCTGTTATCAGAAGAACCAGAGTCCTCAGAGAAGGCAGTGATGAATTTATGACAAGGAATTTAATTTAGGTTCACAACTTATCAAGTCAAGGGTGACTTATGAGTGACAATTCAATATGTGTGTCCTAATGGCCGGCTGCTGGCTGACATCATGCATGGAGTTGAAACCATTTTGAGACTAATACTTTATATGTCACATTAGAAGGGAATACGAGATAAAATATTTATTCAGGAGGAAACAAATGAAGGGTGAAATTTTCTTCCATGAACAACGGTGTGTTTTGCACTCTTGCACCACAAGCTCTATTACACATTCATTACGCGACTATGCAAATGTGTGGTTTAGACAGTCCTGGGGTTGGAAAATTCTGACGAAATAATATCAGAATATCTGTCATAGGAGCCATTTACTCTTTCAATTTTTGGTTGTCCAAGATCTGTCCGATGTTTCCAGGTACTTTTTCATTAGGTGGCAAAATTAGTGGGGGATAAAATGTTAGAATGTTCATGAACTTTACACAGACGTTTGCCATTACTGTCTTTTGAAAAGCTGACATAATTTTTTTTTTTTTTGTAAATGGTAAAGCCTTGAAATGCTCAGGAAAAAGGATATTCTACAATGTGAATAAAAACTAACAGGCTCTCCCTCCTCTGCCCTCCTTCTTGATGGACTATATTTGTGTTTTATAATTCATATCAATGTGTAAGTGATCATACATTGGTTTCCTAATAGTATTGAGTACCTTAGATATTCTTTTTTCCATTCTTCAGATACTTTACTAAGAAGAATATGTTCCAATTCCATCCAGGTAAATATAAAAGATGTAAAGTCTCCATTTTTTATGGCTGAATAGTATTTCATGTCATACATATGCCACAATTTGTTAATCCATTCATGAGTTGATGGGCATTTGGGTTGCTTTGTGACTTGGCAATTATGAAGTGGGCTGCAATAAACATTCTGGTGCAAATGTCTTTGTTGTAAAATGGTTTTTGTTCATCTGGGCAGAAGCCTAGTGATGGAATTGTGGTATCAAACAGTAGGTCAACTTGCCCGTGAATTCCTTGAGAATTCTCCATACTTCTTTCCAAAAAGGCTGTACTCATTTACAATCCCACATTGTGGAAGGGGGTGGGAGAGCGTTTGGTGGGACCTCGCCTAATGTGCACAAGGCAAGGGTACATTTCAAAACAACTGAGAGTAAATTACACGTCTTACCACAAAAAAATATGTTAAGTGAGGTGATGGTTATGTTAATCAGTTTCATTTAAGCATTCCACGTTGTATATGAAATCATCACATCATATCCCATAAGCATAAAGTTATGATTTAATAAAAATTAAATTTAAAACAAACAAATAAATAAAATGCAGCCCTGGGGAGAAAAAAACTAAAAGTCAAGACAGAATGCAAAGACAGGCCGGACTGCTGGAAGGAAATAATTTGAAAAAGGTGATCTTGATTTTTTAGGTGCAAACCCTTTTTAGAAAGTTTTAGGATTTTTTAGGTGCAAAGCCTTTTTAGAATGCATAGCTTACACTCGGGGCTTCAGCAAGCTTTACGTTTTGATAACAGTGGGGGCTGTCAGAAGAGCAAATAAACGTAGTTCAAAGAAACAGATGAGCCAGTGGCAAGCAGGGTCCAAGAAGTGCAGCGTTAAAGTACAAAACGTGAAAAATATCCGAATATTTTATTTCCATTTGCCCATGTTTCTTTTTACTCATGTTTAAAGAAATGAAAATTTTCAAGGCTTAAAGGTATTTTTTTTATTGCACCCACATTATGACAAGAAATAAACAAGTTATTCTTGCTTGTTATTTGGCTGACATAACTTGAAGTGAAATTATTATAGTAGAGTTACCTGAAATTCCAGTCCATAGTTTTCTCTGCAGAATTCCCTCAGTTTAGGATACACGTTTTCTCTTAGCGCCTGCCTTTCTGCTCCTGTGTCTGTAGTAGAAAAACAAACACATAAAAAGTGAGTATTTCCACAGGTATATTAAAAGGAAAAAAGGAAAACTTAAAACACTGACATTCATATCTTTAATATGGGGTGCTGAGTTGTCAAATAACAGGATATTTGGCTGCTGGTACGGATCTGCTCTTTTTTTTTTAGTGAGACAGAATCTCATTCAGTTGCCCTCAATAGAGTGCTGTGGCATCACAGCTAACAGCAACCTCCAACTCTTGGCCTCAAGTGATCCTCTAATGCCGGACTTGTTTTAGAGATGGGATCTTGCTTTTGCTCAGCCTGGTCTCAAACTTCTGAGCTCAAGCAGTCCACCCACCTCAGCCTCCCAGAGTGCTGGGATTACAGGCAAGAGTTACCATGCCCAGCCTCAGATCTGCTCTTAATTTCACAGAGATGCTCCCACCGGCCATGCAGAAGAAGCCTGCAGGGTGACCACTGGCCGGTCCTACGTTTGCTGATAGGGCTGAGAATTCACAGTTGATTCTTTGTGCCCAGATAGACCTCCATTTGGAACTCTTAAATAGCTCTAACCACACTGTCTTTGGAAAGGTAGGAAAAAGCCTGGTAGGACATTAGGTATTTTGGGTCCACAAAATATAAAAGTTTCAAACCATACAGATTAATTTTGTTACTGCTTTCCAAAAAACTCAGGCCATGTCATTATTACTTAAAGTAGTTAGAAATAAGGCAACTTTTATAAAGTTCAGCATGGTGTGGAAGCAAACATCAAACACTGGCAGATCCCACCTACTGGATAGTCAACCACCTGGTGGAGTTTAAAATAGTAACATCTCCCAGCGACTTTCTGCTACATCAGAGATAGGAGCTGTTTTCCATGTGCCACACCATTTAAGACTACGTAATAAAACATTTTAAAAATTATCTCCTGTCATTAAAAAAAAAAAAGAAGAAACAGAGAACCTGAAACACAAAGAATCATACAACATGCACATATTTAGTGTTGAATATTCTGCATAGAAAGGGATGCTGGCTTGAACAACCCTGCTGTACCAGCAATGACACTCTAAGGTTTTTACAGCCAAGAGAAGGTATTCCTTGCTGAACTAACTTCAGTGAGACCCAAGAAGCATAGCTCTCCAAAATTAGGTTAATGTGTTATCCTGTGAAAAGTGCCATTTGCTAAATGTACCTCAATTCCAGATATAACTGTATCACTTACACTATGTAACTATGTAACACTTGCACACCGAATAATTTTTCACACAGAGAATAATTGCAAAGAATTTCCTTATTGTTGAAAAGCACATCTGCCCATGAACTCAGTCATATGCTGTGCTGACCTATTCTATTTTCCTACTGTTCTCAAGCCTATTTTGAGAAGCAAATAACCAACCAGGGGCATCTGAAATGCAGCTGCAGGCTGGCAGAGTGACAGGAACCAGGGTTTATGTGGAAATCAAAGATCCAGAGGAATACAAGGTCTTCTAGATTACCCCGTGATCTAAATAAACAGGGTCTTCCCCAACCTTAGATCCAGTATGGTTCTAAGCCCAAAGAGAAAGCAGGATAGCCACCTGAGAAAGGGACATTTGAACAGGACCCACGTGGTATATGGTGATGGTGGAGGCTGTAGATTAATTACACATAATTTACATAATCTGGACATCAGATGCCCATCCTCGCTTGCCCCATTTTTAAGAGCTGAAAGTGATAACGTCACAGTAAAGCTGATAATGTTTAATAAATCTCTCTGAAAGCCCTTAGCAGAGTTTTCAAGCCCAAATAGCAAAGAAGTCACTTTAAAAATAGACACTAGCAGATGTGGAAGATAAGCATCTACCACACAAGAATCACTGTTCAGAAACTCTGGAAAATAGTCCTAAATGATACATAAAGTAATTATGGAATAATTTAAGGAACGGAAATGTCCTGTTTCTTAAACAATGTTCATGTAACTCTGATCAGTAGACACTGACATGTGAGTGGAGGACAGTCCGGAGGACAACACAGAAAGACACGACCTAATCACTAACATTGCCACTGAGTGCTGACCGCGGGCCGGTAGTGTGCTGAGTACTTATAGTTGCGTATTTTTCTGTCACTTCTGACAACACCCTGTGAAACAGGCAAAATTATTATTCTGATTTTCTTTTAGACAAGGAAACTGAGGGTAGAGTAGTTAAGAAACTAGCCCAGATCAGGGCTAATGACCAGGAAGCTGGAAAACCCAGATTTGAACTCAGAAATCCACATACCATACTTTGCTCTAATCATGGAAATATCAAATTAGGATAAAAATCCACCTTGGAAAATGACCCATGTAATAAATACACAAAACAACTCAGGAATGCTGATGTCTTAAAGCATATGAAATAAAAAAACTTGAGTTATCCTTGATGGATTCTTCACTTTCTGAAATTCACCCTTCAACAGCAGCTCTGCAGTAAGTTCTCTTGCTCTGCCTCTGAACGCATCCGGAATTAGTCTCCTTCTGTCCTTTCTGCTACTTGATACAAGCCACATTCATCTTCCATCTGGACTCCAACTCCTTGTTTTCATAGTCACTCCCTTCAATCCCCAGAGAAGCTGGCCTGATACATGCAAAATGTAAAGCAGATCACATTAGTACCTAGTTTATAACCTGCCAATAGCTCTTCGTGGAACTTGGAATGGACTCCACACTCCTTATGCTGAATGTCCTCTCTCTCCCCAAGCTCACTTCTTACCACTTTTCCTGTTCACTTTCCTCTGGTTGAACTAGCTTCCATTTGGATCTTGGACCACACTCCCACTGGTGAGCTTCTGTTGTCCTCTTGGAATGCTTTGTCCTGTGATCTTCTCATGGCATGTCCTGTCATCCAAATGTCAACTTTAATTCCCCCTCATCAGGGATGCCTTCTCCGAGCACTCCAGCTACAGAAGCTGCTGAACCACTTTCAACCGCCTTATTTTAATTCTTTGTACAATACTCCCAGCTATTGCTGTCTCTTTACTGTTTGTTTCTCCCACTCAAATGTGGGCGCAAGGGGAGCTGGAACCTTCTTTTGTCCCATTCACTATTGCAACCTCCCTGATCACGGTCACATTCCATCATGAAGGAGTGAATGAAAAGAACCACACATGTTCCCTGGTGATGGACATGGGCTGCCGCCCTGCAATTACCTCCAGAAACAGACAGTCTTCTTCTGTTACAACTGGGCATCAGATGGATTTAAAAGCAAGACTATGTGACATTTTTGGAAATGAAAATGGGATTTAAGAAGCTAACATCATGAGGTAAATGGATGAACTGAAATACTGGTTTCTTCCCTAGTGTTTGTGGCAGAATATGAACCAAGTTATTTTAAACTTTTCTAAATATGTGAAGGAAGTGAATGCACTTCTCTGATAGGCATTCTATGCTGGGATTTATATTACAAAAATGACTCAGATTTTCCTATATGTGTATTAATATATGATGATTTGCTCTGGAAATCAAAAGGCAATTAAGATAGATTAATTATGATGGGTGACAGATAAGCTGACTTAATTAAATATAAAAAACTCTGATTCATACCAACTACAAATCTGGATGGTTGGCAAGTGAAAGCATTAGAATGTCATGAGCAGGGAAAATTAGCTTACAGAATCTCACACACACAAGAGACCTGTTTAAAGAGTGTAGATTGGCGACAAGGAATGTTATCATCATTTTTTTTATGAATAGTCATCGCATTCATTTATATCTGCCCAGCTTCTTAATGCTTTGAAAAAGTGCATTAACACTTTGGCAGCATATTAGGTTTTTAAGGAGTTGCTTTCCAAATAATTCCTGAGTGATTTCAGAGTTAATGAAAGTCTCTGTACAGAGTCTGAGTTAGTCACAGGAAGTACATTAGTTGGGGGCAGAATTATTAATCAAAACCATTATCCTTGAAGTATCTTGATCCAACTTCAGTATGGGTTTAGATTATTCCAAATTTTTATTGAAGGTAAAAAGAGTGCATATAGGACCATGTTGGATTGGAACCTCACATAACTCCAGCCCAACCAAACTTAAGGCATGGACATTAGATTAAGTCATTTTTCCTACACACTGGGAAGCTCAGAAAATCTGTTCGGGATCTAACACGTGGCTTCTGCTAAAACTTTCATTCTAGCCTGGTCTCTCAGGTCTCTGCATCTCTGTTCTTGCCTGGATTCTCTCTCTTTATGTCTCCTCTTTCCAGGGATTCATTCACACAGCCTCTCTGTTTTTTTAATTACTTGCTTAGGTCAACTTCTTGTTTGTCAGCTCCCTCAGGGGCTATCTCTTCCCCTCATCCCTCTGATACATCCTCTCTACCCAACTAGTCACATGCACCCGTCTTTATTTCAATGTCAGCCAATCTGGTCAATATTATGTCATGAACTTCTTTTTAATTTGGCCACTCTCTCTTTTCACAATTATCCCCTCTCTCAGCCAAAAGAAGTAAAAAGTCAGTTTGATTGACCTATTATCTGTCCCTGCCTCACCACCGTCGGAAGTTCCACAGAGCTGCCAGAGATAATTTCAAGACAAAAATAAAGCAAAACCAATCTGATCATCCCTGATGACATGTAGTGGTCCAGAGGATCAAGGTTAAAATGCTCAGTAGGTGTAAATACATCCTTCAGCAAAGTTCTATCTATTGTAAATACATCCTTCAGCAAAGTTCTATCTATTGCTGGTCCCCAGGGGTCCCCTATGGTCTGAGTTTCCAGATACTACTTGACCTTGAGCCTCATTCTCACTAAATAGCTTCCATGCTCAGAAGGTCCTCCCTCCAGCATCCTTTTTGTTTGGTTCTCTCTTACCCTTCTGAATCTTAATCAAATGCATCAGGTTTGTGAGCTTTTACTAGAGACAAGTATATCTTCTCGATGTCACCCCACAGTATTCTCCTCCCCGCTACATAACATCACATATTTGGGATGTATTGCAAATTACTATAATTGTCATTTTTAGTTTTTCTTCCTCACTGGACTGTGAATTCATGGAAGGCAGGAACTTTCTCAT